ATTAATTAATTAATAAAACATACTAATTTACCATAGTTTATGCTTAAAAATGGAAAAAAAAGTGTCGTCTTCCAACCCACAATCTTTTCTAACTCAGTCTTAACATGTGAAAAATAATCATGGTAAAAATAATCATTTGATTATTTCATTAAAATGATCCATATATTAGAAAGCTTTATATTAGCCAAAATAAAGTCATCAAAGTAACAAATCACACAACTTATTGCTTTTATATAAATATTCAGGTGTTTAGAAAAGCCCACATTAGATTCTCAGTCGATTTAAAAGCATYAACATATTTTTAGCTCCATGCAGCTCTTCTTTTATTTCTGCTGATATATAATGTATATTTTTTTAAATAAAGCATGATTTTCCTGTAAAAGTTTATGTTTCACATGCCTATTCTGAGTTGAGTAAATGAGACTTTTACCATATCTGGTAAACATTCAAATGTAGCTTTCTAAGAGGTAAATATTAAGATCTGCTTCAGGTTCAATGTTTTTTTTTCTAAACCCAGTGGTGTCACACTATGTGCTATAAAAGGATAAACAAACCCACATAATCTCCAGCCATACAATATACTCATTTCATTTTTTTATAGGTGAGTTTCATTTTCCATCCTACACTTTCCTTTCTTAACAAAAACAACGTAATAAAAGCTGAYCTATATAATTACTGTATGTCTGCGTAAAACGTGACCTCCAACTGTGATGAAGCTTTAGGCAAATTTCATAATAACAACCATAAAGTTTCATATTAGAAAACGCTTTAGATTTTATCATTTATTTCTAACCGAGTCGTTTCCTGCCAATACACAAACAGGAATTAAGAGGTTTTGCTGTGACATATTATAGTTGTGTGTGTTTGTGTGTTTGTGTGTTTAAAAGTCAAGCCTGTCATCCGTCGTCTGTTGTGGTTTAAAAGTCATATTTTTGCGCAGACAGCAGATGATTTCTGATCCTAACGAAGAAATCTCACTGCCCAAACTCAGCTCGTGATTAAAAAAAGTGTTTTGTCATGATGTCATTGACTCGTCTGAACACAAACCAGATGCGACAAACGAGTAAWCGGACTCAAACTGGTGTTCTGTAGTGTACTGTGCTGCGTTCAAAGTTGCCGTAAATTACACAACGTAACCTGACAGTGTGAGGGTGAACCTGCATGACTTTTGTAAGGTTGCAAGGATTATGTCAAACCTGTCAGCCCTCACTCCAAAACTTCCACATTCCTTTAATTTCCTTTTATTAAAGCTTTTTGCCTGTATTATACTAGCCGTGTATAAATACACAACGTTTTCAACACGTTGTGTATAAATACACAACGTGTTGAAAACAAGTCTGAAACAAAGAAAAGCTTTGTTTTGATTGTTGCAGCAGTACAGTCAGGTAAAAAATGTGTTTGGTTTTTAGTTAAATATAAGAAAATTACAATAAAGGGGTCATATCAAGAAAAATCTGCATTTCTCTATTTTCTGATGTTTCCCAAACTATTATGTCACAGAATTTGCGACACTGTGTCTAAGTAAGGTCTGGACTTACCAACTACAGCTTCATCATCTTCATTCYCCTCTGGCTTTGGGTCAGACTCTGGCTCCAACATGGACAAGTCTTATTTTAAACCCAATATAAAAAGTTTTATTGCTGAGTCATTCCCTTGTTTTTACCTATCTGTATTTATGGGGCAGGATATACCATATCCCTCTTTTGGTAGATTTATTTTAGGCTGTGTTCACACTGCAAGCAAATGCAGCCCATATCTGTTTTTTTATGACAGTCTGAAGAGGAAAAACAGATGTTTTTTTTTAATCCGACCCAGGCCTTTTCAGACTGAAAGGGATATTTTTTGTCACTTTTCCTAAGCTAGGATGCAGGCTAACAGTTGGATTTGAGTGATGGGACAAGCTGAATTTGAATGGAAAAGGTGAAACCATTGACTTACATCTGCTCCAGAAAGTTAGTCACATATTACCATTGAATCACTAGAATCCATGTGACTCGTCSAATCATTTGTTAGAGCAGGTATGTAATTGCATTGAATAATGAGTGGAGATCACAATTCCAATAAAGTCTCAATGGACACATTCTGCTTGTTTTTGTTCATTGGGCCTCATGCAAGAACATGTTCGTATTCTTATCCTAAATTTCTCTTACTTTTGTTC